ACCATGGTCCCTCAGAAATCTGTAAGAGAGAATTCTTCCTTGCCTCTTCTAGCTTCTGGTGTTGGCTGGCAATCCTTGGCATCCCTTCCTTGGCTTGTCCAAAGAATGTTATTACTCCAATCTCTAACTCTGTCATCACATGGCATTCTGCCTTTGTGCCTCTCTCTTTTTATATGAGAATCCCTGTCATCTTGGATCAAGGGTCCACCATTTTGTACTACCTCACCTTAAGAGATTATGTCTGCAATAACCCTACATCCATGTAAGTTCACATTCTGTAGTTCCAGAGGTTAGAACACCAACATATATTTTGGGGGAACACAGTTCAACCTATAACAAATGATAAATCAAAATAGACATAGCTAAATGCCTTCATCAAGCTAGCAGGAAAGTGGGGTAGTCAGAGTACAGTGTGTTGAGAATTTTCAATGGAGAAAATATTAATGTATTAAAGACCGTATAGCAGACTTTTACCCACTTGAGTGTTTCCACCCTGAAAAAGTAACATTTTAATAGGGATTAAAAATGAGTAAAAGTCAACTAGTCATAGGGAGAGAAGAGGCACTAACACCTTTACCCTCTGGTGCCCAGACCAGTGCTCCTGTCCTTATCAGCACTGGGCTTATGCCAAAGACAGACCAGAGAATCCCAGCAAAGGCTTGTGTTGCACAAGCTAACAGCTACAGCCACTCTTGCCCCCAAATGGCTCCCACTGGCCCATACTCTGTCTCTCAGAAAGAGCAAAGGTGGATCCAGAAGGTGGCATAGCAGTTAAGGCACTGGACTCCCTCATGGTTGACAGTGGTTCAAGTCCTGGACCCAGCAGCTTGAAATTCAACACCAGGCACATGTGCATATGTGCCAAAATCCCAAGAGGAGAATAAAGGAGAAGGGATTGCAGCGAGGCCATCCCCATGCTGATTGAAGGGATTTTTCTCACACACACACACACACACACACACACCCAGCAAGTGCACAAGCCCTACAGCAAAAATCTCTCAGTAAATAAATGGCCAAAGGCACAGGATCATGGAGGGGTACAGCAAGATCCACCACTCTAAATTGCAGTCTCTATGAAGGTGAGAAGTAGGGAAGAGTCACTGTTTTCCCTTTTTTGGCCTAAGCTGATTCAAATATTTTTGATTCTGAAGCAGCAAAGTGCTTACTGCAGAGATAGTCTCTGCTGACCTTCCTTGAGAATGTTACCTCCATACTTTTATCAGAGTAGGCAGATATGTTTGGTTTGTGAGTTTCTCCAAGCAGTCTTCAAATAGCCACATGGCTGCCAAAATGCCTCTACTTCAAGGTCTCAGTGACTGAACTACTGCCAGAGGTGGGGAGGTAGGGCAGGGGTAGGAGGAGTGAGGGGGACAAGCACTGACCTTGGAATGGCACTGTGTAGGCAGCTCCTTTATGAGACATACAGAGCATGGGACATGGTTGTTGAGTTTTATTTTACAGCCACAATACTTTAGTATTTTACTTAACAGTGAAAAAAAAAAACAGAAACAGAGGCCCAGCAGGTGGCATGGTGGTTAGAGTACCAGACTCCCACTTGGTTGTCCACAGTTCAAGTCCCAGCCCCAGCAGCTTGCTTTCTCATTTTCCTTCTCCCTCTCTCTCTCGCTCTCGCTCTTATTCTGTCCCTCTCTGGCCAAATTGAAATAAATAAAGTTAAATAATTATTTTAAAAAACAGAAACAAAAAAATTGTGAAGCATAACAGAGAGAAAAGTGCACAAATCCTACATATACAACTTGGTAAAGTTGTCCAAAACCTAGTAGCTTACAATGAAAATTAACATTGATCGTCTCTCACACTTTACATGAAAGAGGAATTTATAAGTAGCTTGGCAAGACAGTGCTGACTCAAGGTCTTTCCTGAGGTTGCAGTCACCCAAAGGCTAGCTTGGGTTTGGAAGATCTGCTTTCAAGGTAGCTCACTCATGTGCTTGGCCATTTGGTGTTGATCAGTGCTGGAGGCTGCAATTCTTCTGCGTGTGGGCTTCCCTTAAGACAGTCTGAGAGTCCTCATGACAACCACTAGTGAGCCATTGATGAGAAAGCCTTGAGTTGGCCCCATAGCCTATAAGTTAAGAAAGCCAGATCCCACATGGCTGACTATAGTTCAAATCCTGGCTCTGATAGCTTGAACCATATGCAGAGCATCTGAGTGGGCATGTGAGTGCCCCAAATTTTGACAGGATGGAGAAATGAAAAACGGGAGTTTATGGCATGATATTGAGGGATTCTCTCTCTCTCTCTCTCTCTCTCTTTCTATGCACATGCCCTATGGCAATTAAAAGAGCGAGAGAGAGCACCACATGGAATCACTGTCCTTTCTATACACCAGTCTTGGAAATCACCTAGCATTGCTTCTGCCTCATTCTATTCATTAGAAGTGAGCCTCCAAGTCCAGTCCATACTCAAGACTCCATATTCAGAAGGAAAGA